CACCGCAATCCTCCTGCCTCAGCCTCCTGAGTGCTGGGATTACAGGCATGCACCACCACGCCCAGCTGGACATGTTTTATATTGTCTGATTTCATTTAATCCATGAATCAACCATCATTGGAAATATTGATATTAAAAAGAAATTTAAAGCTGGGCAGTACGTATAGTGCCCTGGGTTTCATCCCCAAGACCACCACCAAAAAAAAAAAAAAGGAAATTAAAACTTTGTCAGAACATAACCTCAGGCTTTGATTTTCGGTTGCGTCTCCCACCCCTGCGAACGGCAATCTGATCAGAGCTCTTCTGTAGGCAGGCAGAAGGTTCAAGGCTTTCAGGCTGTTGCTCTTCTCAGTTGACACGGCTTCTCTCTACACATGAACACACTAGATAAATCAGCGCTAGGAAGTTCTTCTTAAACTCCCTCGAGGAGGAGAATCTGAGACTCATGTTTCTGCCACGAACTGCATGGGGCTGATTGAGCAGCTAACATCACCTTAGAATTTGCCATCTGTTTTTTGTTTTGTTTTGTTTTGTTTTTGTTTTTGTTTTTTTGTTTTTTTCTGATACCGGGAATCGAACTCATGACCTTGCGCTTGCCAGGCAGGCGCTGTGCCACTGAGCTAAATCCCCAGCCCCCAGAATTTCCCATCTGAAAAGAACCTTAAAGGTAAGTTATTGCCATCATCTTCTGGCTCTGCTACAAAACCTCCATTTTTATTTTTAATGTTCACTAGTACATGTGTGTAGTACAGAGTGATCACATTCCTCGTGGAGAGTTGGGACATGTGTATTTCTCGTCCTGATTCTTTTGTCATCTTTTCATTCCTTTCCCTCCCACTTCCTTCCATCTCCTGGTCCCTTCCCATTTGCAAGGATCCATCTCCCTACCTCCTACTCTTATCTTTTACTTGGCTCTGTACTTGTAGTTTGAGTTTCTCATATAAGAGAAACCATGTGATATTTAAGCTTGTGCATCTGATTTATTTCACTTAATGGTATAGTCTCAGGGAGCATCTATTTTCCTACAAATGACTCAGATTTATCCTTTCATGGCAGAGTAGCGCTCCATTGTATGCTAATACCACACTTTATTTATCCATTCTTGTACTGGTGGACATACAGGTCTCTTCCAAAGCACACAATCACTGTTAGGAATTGAGCTGCCATAAACATGGGGTATGCATGTATCTACGTCATATCTTTAACTCTTTAGGGAAGATACCTCGAAAGAGAGTAGCTGGATCAAATGGAATTTCTAGTTTTAGTTTTTTGAGGAATTTCCATAGTGATTTCCTTAACGGTTATAATTCTACCAACAATACAAAAGGGCTCCTTCTTCCCCAGACTCACCAGCATTTGTTGTTACTAGATTTCTTAAGGGTGACTGCCATTCTTTCCGGAGTGAGGAGTCTCAGTGTTGTTTTAACTTGTGTTTCTGTAATGACCAGAGGTGTTGAACATTTTTCATTGCATTATTTTCCTATTGCTGATCCCCTTTTCCTTCCCCCTTCTTATTTACCTGCTTACTGTGCCTGATATATCATTCTAGTAGACTTTTTGGCATTGCTTACTTCACTGCCTTTCTAGGATATCTTTGAGACTTTTTGTAGTGCTGGTTTAGTGGGGACGCATTTCTTAACATATTCTTTGTCATGGAAAACCTCGATGCTATAGGTGAGGGTCTGGGGACTTGGAAGGTAAGACTTGTTTTCTTAAAAAGTGAATAATAGTAAGGCTGAGATAAGAGAGCAGGCCTTCTAACTAATCCTGGGGATTTTTTCTACTAACCTCAATTCCTCTCCCTGCTTTTTATAAATACCTCTTTTCTTATAATATAGTCACATTTCACTGTTAGCTGTTCTTCCTATTACAAACTTAAGATATTAAATACACGGTACCAAGCCCTCATGATCCACTCTTTTAATCAGCTCCTGTGCTAGTATGACCAGAACCGCTGTTCTTCATCCCAAGTAAGTGACACCGTTGCCCTCAGTACTCAGGCCAAAAACTTTGGCAACACCCTCGATTCCTCACATTATTACCTGACATCCAAAGCAGAGGCAAATTTCACGATGTTAGTCTGTTTTTTGGTCACTGTGGCATGCCTAAGAAAACCAACTTCAAGAAAGAGAGATTTATTTTGGCCTGTGGTTTCGTGAGCCAAGGTTACTTGGCTCCTTTTGTTTCTGGGCTGTGATGAGGCAGAGCATCGTGCTGGAGAGGATGTGGTAGCGGAAATCTGCTTCCCTCATGGCAGCCAGGAAGCAGAGAGAAAGAAGAAAGGACCAGAGATAATATGTGCTCCTCGAAGGCCTGTCCTTCCCCACCCCCATGAACGACTTTCTCTACCTGGGCCTAACTCCTAACAGCCCAACCAGCTATCAGTTATGGATAAATCCAGTAATGAGGTTAGCCCCTCATTGTCCAGTTAGCTCTGTAGGTCTTCCTAAGGCTCCAGCTCTGAACTTCATGGCACTGGGAAGCAAGCCTTCAGGACATGACTCTTTGGAGAATGCTTCATATTGAAATCCTAACAACTATCATGTGTACCTTCAAAATAGTTGCCGCTCTCCACCTCCTCTCCCCACCTCAGACACAGACACTCTGGCCCTGTGTTGTCCAACAGAACTTCGGGGGGTGGGAATGTTCCGTGCCTGTGCCGTTCCACCCAGTGTGTGGCTGCTGGATATTTGAAATGTGGCTAGTATGACTAAAGAGCAGAGACTTTTTATAAATGCCTTTTTGAGATATAATTTCTATAACCTTATCATTCACCCATTTAAAGTACAATTCTTTGGTTTTGCTTATATTTACAGAGTTGTGTAACCATCATCATAATTAATTTTAAAATGTTCTTATCACCTCCAAAATCTGTCACTTCTCATTTCCCCTGAACATCCCCCAGCCCCTGAACAACCACTGATTTGCATTCTGTCTTCATGATTGGTCCATTCTGGGTATTTTATACAAATGATTATATGATATGTGACCTTTTATGTCTAGCTTCTTTTAATTTGCATGAGGTTTTCAGGAGTCTTGCATGTTATAGCATGTATCAATACTTCATTCCTTTGTATTATTTAATTGTATTACTACTGTGGTGTAGAGCGTTCCCCAGTTGATGGGCATGTACTTGCTCTTCACCAGTTGAAGGACACTGGTTTATGAATGAGCTATTGTGTACAGTGAATAATGCTATTCATGATGTCAGGCTCTGATGAGCATGAGTAATTATGAATAATGCTCCTGTGAACATTTAAGCACACGTTTTTGAGCGTTTTCTTCAAAGTTTCATTTTTCTTGGGTGTGTACCTAGGTCTGGAATAGCTAAGTCACAGAATAAATATGCATAATCTTTGGAGGAAGTAGTGATAATTTCCCACAGTGTCTGCGTCTCTGTACATTTTTACTTTCCTATCATCAGTGGATGGAAGTTTCAGTCCTTCCACATCCTCATAGACTCTTGGTATAACATTTGCCTTTTTTGTTACAGACATCCCAGTGGATATTAAATGATATTTTATTGTACTTTTCAGTTTGTATTTCTTCGGTGCCTATTGATGTTTAGCTTCTATTCACCCACTTATTGATCATGTGTACATCTTCTTTGCATAAACTTTTATTCAGATACTTTCCTCATTTCTAATTCAGGTGAATTTTTTTGGTCTTATCATTGAGTGGTTTTAAGAGTTCTTTACCCTGGATATAAATCCTTTCTCAGATATATAATCTGTAAATATTTTGTCCACCCTTCAGATTTCTTCTATCTCTTGAAGGTATCATTTGAAGTGCGAAAGTTTCTAATTTTGATGAAGTCTTGTATGTACTGTTGTCTTTTGTCACTGTGCTTTTAGTACTTGAAAATCATTGCTAAATCGAGGCCAGAAAGGTTTGCTGTTGTGTTTTATCCTAAGAGGTGTATAGTTTTGGTTCTGTGATCTACCTTTGCTAGTTTTCTATTATGGTAATATATATAAAATAAAGTCTGCTCCCTTGCCTGTTTTACGTGTGCAGTTCTGAGGCATGAGTTACTCTGAGCATTTGTACAACATCACCACCTAAGCTTTTCATTACCTCAAACTGAAACTACTCCCTAAGCAGCAACTCCTCATTGTCCTTCTCCTCCCCAGCCCCCGGCAGAAGCAGATCCTTCATTATATTTTATTTTAATTAATTTAAATATAAACAAGTACAGGGTGCCTCAGTTCACAAACTGAAACAGTTTGATTTGCAAGCAGAAGCGTTTGGCAAAATTTTGTTTTCATTTTCAAACTCTGCAGCAGGTGACAAACACGAGTGCGGCTATCTTTCTCACGCGAACATGAGAGTGACCATTTTTTTCCAGAATGGTGGCACAAATTAAATTCGTGAACTGAGGCACAACTGTAAATTCAGCTCGTGGCAACCACAGCAGACTGCATAACTCCAAGGCCACCATTAACATCCCCTTGTATACCACTGGTTCCAGGCTGGCGTTGCATTTATGATTATTCCATCATGGTCAACCATGATCTATACTCCCGTACAAGCTGCACTATTCCTCTAAGAGTAGAACTTGGGCCATTTCATTCCCAGCCTAGGGTCATCCTAGTTACCAGTCACAGCTGACTCAGCTGTTAATTTCCCCCTCTCACTGAGGGCTTTTGTTCTTTTTCTTGGTGTCCCAAGCCAGACTGGCCTTTGTGATCTTTGAGTGCATCAGGTTCTGTGTGCATACAGACACTTAGGAGTTTTTCTTCTCTCTGCCTGGAGCAGTCTCACTCTCAATGGTTATTTAACTCCCTGCCTCACACCGTTCAGTTTACTGATTTTGTTTGCTTGCTTCACTGGAAAAGGATATAAAGCAAAAAAATGCAGAATTACATAGAATGAGTCTTTAGAATCACACAAAATGCTTCCTATTTTGATAGATGTTTCTCAAGTTCCATTTTTATAGTCTGAATAAAATGGGTTGCCACGTGAGCTCCTTGGAAACTAATAGTGACCTCCATGTTTTCCAGATACTCCCTTGTCCAACGGTCACGCCACAGACTATTTATTTGTTGGAAATATTGTTTACACGGTAAGTTTATCTCTGTGTATCGAGGCATTCTTAAATGGCAGATGTGAGAGTTATACTTATCCAATCCCTTCTCACTATAATTATTTTAAATCTTGTATGTTGTACATACCTTAAAGTTCCAAATGGCTGGGCCCTGCTCACATCACTGTTCAGCAGAGATTATGCAGAGTTCAGGCTTCTTGACAGCTGGTTAGCAGATCTCCTCAATCTTAAAATGACCACTTTCACCTACTTGCAAAAGTAAAGAGCACTCGGGAAAGTGATTTCTCCCAAATTGGCCAAGAAAGGGCAAAACTGTTATTAGCATGAAGTTACTCACCAGAATGAGGGGTTCCTTGAGATAAACCTACCTGTTCATTCCCTAAAAGTAATGCTGAGAAATTGAGCTACAGAGATGACACTATTTTCATGTGGTTCTTCTGTTTGTTTGCTTGCTTGCTTTTTTAGTTGATGTTCCAATACATTGCATTCACATTCAGCCGGGGTTATTGATATAGGTACCTATCGAGTCAGGATCATGTTTACTTCTCCTCTGAAGGCAGAGTGGCCATGGAGGACCCAGCTCGGGAGGGGAGACCCAGGGCTTCTGCAGAGTGAAACTAATGCACTAAGGGTGACAAATATTTCCAAACTGCTCTCTCTTTTCACAGTACGTTGTGGTTACAGTTTGTCTGAAAGCTGGTTTGGAGACTACAGCTTGGACTAAAGTGAGTTTTCTTTGGAATTATTTCCCTTTCCTATATATATATATAGGAATATATATATATATATATTTATATATTTTATATATATAAATTTTATATATATAAAAATATATATATATATTTTTTTTTATGCTATGATTTCTTTTTAAGCCTTAGCAAAACAGTGAAAAATATCTCCCTCCTTATTTTAAAGTTTGTGTATAAAAACTGTGATTTGATCTTTATTAGAACAAATTTATAACCCAGCATTTCCTGGTGTCTCACTTGCCTGGCACCTAATACAGCTCAAGACTATTGAGAGTGTCCTCATTTCAAGGGTGTGTGCTCCCTGTTATAAACGCACACCCGCACACATGCACACATTTGTGGGAAATGCAGAAGCACAAAAAAGAAAATCTACATTTCCATATAATTTTACTACTAAGACGCACTGTCAAGACTTTTGTAATCTTTTAGTAATCTTTTGTAATAAGTTTTGTAATCTTTTTTCCCTAAAAATGTATTAAACTGTACTTCTACCCCAAAAAAACATTGTTCATGAGTAAAGAATATTAAGTTTCATAGATATCCCACACTTTTTTGTCAGTCCCCTGTTTTTGGCATTTTGATCATTTCCAACCTTTGGGGAGTATACCGTATGCGTCCTATTAGTCTCTGACAGAGTGTCAGGGTCTGACTGTTTTTCATAGAGACTGACCTTGTGCCGTGCTAAGAACGTGTGGAGGTGTGGGAGGTCAGCGGGACTCTGTTAGGATCAGTGGCAGTTATTCCAGGTGAAAGGTAATGGTGACTTAGCTTGGAATGCCAAAGGAGAAAGTAAGGAGTCATAGATAAATTCTTCAAGTATTTTTTTTAAAAAGCAGGTACTTTTTAAAAACAGAACTATGAGCCTGGCATGGTAGCACACACCTGTAATCCCAGCAGTCAGGAGGCTGAAGCAGGAGGATCGTTGGGAGACCCGCCTGGGCTACAAAGTAAGCTCAGAGCCAGCCTGAAGTGCATAGGGAGACCCTGCCTCAAAAAGACAAAAAAAAGAACAATGCATTGGAGTGTGATGAATTGATAAAAGAAAGGAAGAACTCCAGGGTAACCATATTAAGACTGCAAAGGAGAAAAATTGAATAACTCAATAGATAGGAAGGCACTAAAATCTGGTATCCAAATTGACCTCATAGAAGCAAAGAGTGGAGTAGTGGCTGTCAGACCCTAGGAAGAGTTGGGGCCGGAGAAGGACAGGGAGGGGATGGTAAATGTGTGGGAGCACCCTTGGGTACAGAGTAGTTTCTGTTGTTCTGTAGCAAGTACAATAACTTGGCAACTATTAGTTGTGTATTTCAAAATGATTGGAAAAAACATTTTTAATGTGCCCAACACAAAGAAACCCCAAATCTTTGTGGCAGTGGATATGGCCATTACGCTGCTTTGATTACTACAATATATACAGGTACCAGAATATCACACTGCACTGTACCCTATTAACATGTACAATTATAATGTCAATTTTTAAACATACTAAATAACATTTAAAGACTTCAAAAGAGCAATATCCATTTTAGTTTTAAAAAAACCAGTTTGCTGAATAGATGGAGCAATGAAAGTCTCCGAGTAATGCATAAAAGCATCTTGTTCACCGTCTGCTCCCCCACTTGCTCTCTAGGCCTGCGTGCTCTTGCGTTACTCAGCCCCAAGTGCGGGGAGCCGAGCAGGGCCTGCTGGAAGTAGGACATGGCTCCGGGAGCAAGGTCAGCTGTGACGCAGAAGCACTTTCACCTTCAGAATAGTCTAGGGCCACTAGTTGCTCAAATTGATTGTCAAAACTTTACAGAAAAGGGAATTAAAAAGACAGAACTCTCCAATGACAAGGAGCCGAAGTCTTTCCCTCAGGAAATCTTCCCGCAGCGTGGACGCAGGGATTCTGAGCAGGTGGAGTTTAGGTGGGTCCCGACACTGTCTGAGTGAGCATCTGTTTCCTCCGCAGTTCAGTCACCTGGCCGTGTGGGGAAGCATGCTGATCTGGCTCGTGTTTTTTGGTGTCTACTCAGTCTTCTGGCCCACCATCCCCATTGCTCCAGACATGGAAGGACAGGTCAGTACTGCGAACGGTGAGTGTGCCTCTGGTGCCAGCTGCACCTGCACATGTGTGCGTGAGTGGGCCTTCCGAGTTTTATGACAGTGAGCTCCAGAAAAAGCCATCACTGCCTGCTCCCGCCAAAACTTACCAGGAGCTCAGCAACTCAACGCACCTGGAAGTGGTTGTCCAGTCCACAAAAATGGCATTTGAAATTTTTAAATATTGTGAAAATTTTCAACATAATTTCTCTGGCTTCCCCAGCATGTCTACTTTTCCATAATAAGTTATGTGTTGCTTATATACAGTGATGCTGTGTACCGTTTATGGCCCTTGGAAGATCAGAACTGTTTCGTTCACTCATAATCCAGTGAATAGGTGGATTACAGGGTCCATGCTACCTGAGGATGCACTGCCTGGTTGGTAGTCCACCTGTGCCTGGTTTGTCACCTGTGAAAGATAAACAACTCTTCACCGGACTGTTTATGAACCAGACTCTCACGTTGTTCATTCTTTGGGCTAGAGAGGCTGAGATTGTGGAACTTCATGCTCATTTGAATATTTTCTGCACTTTCTTTTATAACATCTTTGCCTACTGTCTGGAACGGAACCACCAGTAGTGACAAAATGGATCATAAACCCTCCCCAGTGGGTGTAGAAAGGAAAGAGCTCAGTCGCTGTGTGGTCCAGGACCCCTCAATTCACAGAAAAGCGGTGCAGGCCCACGTTAGGCCCAACCCGGAGGCGCCGCAGACCTGGAGCGTTGGGAGCCTGTGCTGTGGTAGGCCCTCTGACTGCCCGCGTTCCTCTTTGCTAACTGAAATATCGGAGCGTGCAGAGCCAGGCCCTATGCCAGGTCACTTCTCTGGGCTCCCAGCACTCTGTGTTTCCTTCCCAGAGCACCAAACTCCTACCACTCAGGGCTGGCAGGGCCTCTCCCCAGATCCAGGCCAGTGTACACATTCCTAGGTCTCAACGAGCAATGAGACTGTCCTTGCTTGTGGCTCAGTTTCGTTGCTGGCAAGGCGTGTACACCGAGCAGAGCGGGTGTATATGCCCCGAACTGTCCACCCGTGCCTGCAGGAACACGCTCATGTTCCTAAAGGTCTGAGCCAGGAGTAGGAAGACAGGAACTGTGGGTCAGGGATTTCCACTGCTTCCCTGCCCGCAAAGTACGTATTTTAGGGGCGGGCTGCCTGCAGCACACCTGGCTGCTGTCTCTGGCGCACTGCAGAAATAAACACAAATGCCTGGGTTTCCCCAAGTCCGACTCACACTCTGTCATGGCTTCACTTGAGAATCAGTTCGCTAATACCCCACAGTATCCAGGACATCCCCGGGTGTGGGAGGTAACCAGGCTGGCCCTGTCTTGCAGGAGTGGGCTTGTGTCTTCTCAGATACGTCTTTGCTTTCTGAAAGGAGAAAGGGCAAATACAGCATGCTTTTAATTCCTTTTCCAATTGGGGCGGGCAGAAGAAATTGCAGGGTATTGATTAACTGAACCCACAAGATTGTCGTACAGCAGAATGAGCATTTCTCAACAAACATACTTTGTGAAGTCAAAGAAGTTGATTCTGTTCCAAAGGAATGTGATTTGTTCCCACAAACCAAACCGTGGAGAGCATGCAGAGCCCATCACTTCGTAAGGCACGGAAGCTTAGCGTGTCTGCTTGGTGTGGTCTCCTAAGGAAGAGTGCTTCTGCTCTGATTTTATTTGGAGAATTTTACAGAACAAAACATAGGACTTCAACCAGTTGCCACAGACAGATTTCTAAAGTAAAGGAGAATGACAGTTGACACGACGGGGTCAATTGGTGCGTGACTGGCAGGCAAAGCCATTCCTTTGAAAGCCCCGCTGTGTCCTCAGCGGTGCTGCTCTAGTGAGTCCCCCTGTAGGAAATTTGCTTCAGTAACTCTGATTCTGATGTGCATGGATTAGGCTTGGTTGCTGATTTTCAATCCCATCAAATTACCGGGGGACAAACTTACCAGGCAGTCACTAATGTGCCCACCTTCTCACCGGGCCAGTCAGATCTGTGTGGTTCCGATGCTCAGCGTCACGGTGACATTTACATATTGCCATGCAGTGCATTTCAGGCAGCAGACAGCACGCACTTAAGGGTGGTCCCATAAGATTATATGGCCTAGTGATGTGGTAGCCGTCTGTGCAAGTGCCCTCCACGGTGACTGAGCCTCACCCTGCGTTACCCAGAATGTACCCCATCCTTAAGTGATTTTGTGTAACTGTCATTATGAATTTTATAACCAGTAGAGATGTAGTGAGCCTTCCTCCCACCCAAGAGCAAAGATGTGATCACATTAAAGTACATTTCACTTTCATATAAAACTTTTCTTTTGGTTGATTGGTTTCAACAGGAGGCAAATGACTTTTTTTTTATTTTGAAGAGAATACCAAATTTTAAAAGAACATTAAAAATGATACAGAATTTCAAAACAAGATGATATAAAATCACAATGGTTGTTATATTGCATATTGTTATCTTCAAAGCAGTTGTTCAGATTACCAGCTATAGGCATGCAAAATTGATCAAAAAAATTAAGCATTAACTGTTCCTTTCAGTAAGCCAATAGAAATCAGTAGTAGAATTATCTTAGGTACCTTGTGTATATGTATTTTTTCCCCTCCTTCTTTCTTTCTTTTCTCCTTCCCCTCATCCCAGTTGTTCTTTCCTTTTGAGCAGTTTCTTTCCTTCACAAAGTCTATTGTACATTTTGGGTCTTACTTACTCTTTCAGGTTCTTATACTAGGGAGCCAATGCAGTGTTTACATATATGCAAGTCTGATTTATTTCACTTATGAGTATGGTCTCTAGTTGCATCCATTATGACTTTGTTTTGAAATGAAACATAGCCAGGTAAAACTAAGGTTTTCATTAGGCATGGAATGAGAGGATTAATGTAGACTTTATCGTTTAAAGGTCTGGTTATCGTCTCTAGTCTGTCTCTGGGGAGGAGCCCTGCGAGGGGAGAGGGTGTGGAAAACAGCAGGTATCTTCTGTCTCTCTGTAGCCAGCTAGAGCACTTATACCTGCTGTCTGCCATGCTCTTTGATTCAACAGTTTGTTGATTCTTTGAAAAATGGCGGGAAAGAATTAAATACTGTGTCACATTTTGGAAGATTCACGTGGGTAAGACCAACTGACATTTTAGAAAGGCTTTCTGCCGACCCAGGAGGAATTAAATGCCATCAAAACAGAGATGGCAACTGGGCTCAGGCGAAGTCAGTAAAAGAAGTTGACTTCTTTAGGGGAGAGGATTGAAAATATGCCAGTGGGTTTGGTGACTCTCACCTGTGATCCCAGCACTCGGAGGCAGGATTGTAAGTTTGAGCCTAGCCTGGGCAACTGAGAGCCTCAGCAAGACCCTGTCTCAAAAAAAGATTTTAAAAAGAGAGGGGACAGCAGGGAAGTAGCTCACTCTGAAGTCCCTGGGTTCAGTCTCCAGCTCCATTTAAAAAAAAGAAGTCCTATCTGTTCCTTGGGCTCCGGGTTGGATGGTGCTTCGGAGTGAGGAATATTCTGCTTTTTAAAAATTACTATGACGAGAAGTTTCTAGTGGTTTTCATCACCAGTTTTTTGTAATTGACTATATGAAAGGTGTTTGGCAAATAAACACGGTCCTTTGAAGTTTCGGAATTAAGCTAGTATCTAATTGCGAACAGTTTTCTCACCCAAGAGCCAAAGATAGATTTGACACACAATGCATTCTGTCTTTTCATAACATCTTCAGCTGTTGAAAAGATGCATTGTTTCCGCTGGGGTTTCCTAAACATTTCCTTGTCTAGTCCTTTCTATTTGGAGTGTTTCTCATGGGGGAGAATGCAGGTTTTCCCTCCAGGGCAAGCGAGAGGAAGGGCTGTGGAATTAAAGAGTTGTTGTCCACTGTCAAAGAGTTTCTATTTTCCCTAGGGCGCCTCACATGTAATATGTGAATCCCTACCAGAGAAGGAGCCAGGAAGTCATAGTCAAAGTTTCTAAAATCAAGAGTCATGTGCATCCTTATTCCCTTGAAAATATGCAACATTCCTGGGGTTTTAAGGGATACGTTATTCTTCCACTTTTCTAGGCCCACACTTAGGCCTTATAGTAAATTAAAAATGCAGTTTACATCCTGAATAATGCCGAGACCTTCAGCTACGGACAAGAAGGGATGTTTCTCCATAGGGACTGTGTGTGTTTCTCCCCTCAGTAGCACAACCACACACCATATAAAACATCTTTTCAGTGGTGCAGATGTTTGAAAGTGGAAAATAACAAGGTTCTTTTGGTTCACAACTTCCCCATGGTGGCCTGTTGACATAGAACTTTAAATTACAGAGCTGAGAAAAACTAGATTGAAAACCGGATCAGGAAATGTGCTTCTGTTTATTTAAAATGGACTTCCCAGAGCGTCTGACTCCAGGGGTGTCTGAGGGGTGCCATCGCACTCAACTTCTTCTCCCAAGTCGGACCTGAGCTCAAGCCACTGCTGGAGCCGCATAGCTTTGGGCAAATTGCTTAACCTACCGTAATTTCCCCACCCAAAATCAAACTCGAATTCTCCACCCCAGTTACCTCAGAGGATTGAGGTGAAGATCTAAGAGAAGAAATAATGAGATAAGCTGGGAGAAACTGCAAACATCCATGCCCTTCTTTTTCCTAGAATGACAAATGATTTTTGGACCTTTATACAGAAATGTTGCTATGCTTTCAACTCTCAATTGATTTAACCAAAGATTTCAACATTGATAGGGTTCTAGATGGGATATTTCTGAGAAAGGTCCAGTGGCCATTGATCACTTGTGGTAGAATCATCTGGGGTGTTTGATAAGATCATCTCCCCCCCCAAAAAATATATGTGCACATAATCACACACACAGACACACAGCATCAGAATCTCTGATGGAGCCTCAGCACTTGAATTTTAATAACTCTACAGGAAGTTCTCCCTATTAAAGTTTGGAAAATGCTACTCTGAAATACTGAAACGTGCTGTTGCAATGTTTTAGCTTGTGCTGG